TAAGTATATGATATAATCTAGTTAACAACGCAGAATAAGGACATTGGAAATAGATGATTACACATTTGAAAAAGAGGAATATTTTATAATAACCTGATGTTACATGAAAAATGTATTAATTTAATTGTATAATAAAATTTAATGAAGTAATCAAGAGCCACTAAATTATATTAAAGGAAATATTACCTCACAATTGATTCTTTAAATGTTTAGAACTCCTGTTTAAATTAAAATTTTATCAACCAACAGTCTTGGTTACACCAATGTTTCTTAAAGCATGTAAAACATGGGTAACTTAAAACTCAACAAAAATAGATTGATAATATTTACTATAATAATAACTTAATAATATTAATATTAGATAATATTAACTTTTTATCATTTGTAGGGTACTCAAATTTTAACTATTTATCAGTTAAGATCCAAAGTGTCCCCTTTGACACTTATTCTGTTATATATTATTACATAGTAAATTTGTGTTCAGCAGTTGGAATTTTCTGTACCTTTAATTTTAGAGTTAATTGCTCTATTGTCAATCTGAAATACTAGAATATTATCCGAGTTTCATAAATAATTTATATGATATTTGAATTTATATGCAAGGAATGGGAATTATTTAACGATAATATTTTACATAGTCATAAATAACTAAAAATTAAAACACTTGAACAAAAATCATGAGATAACACATATTATGTTAATTTTACTTTTACATTTTATAATAAGTCAATTCACTTTATTATTAAAGCTTACTACACAAAATTGAGGCTTCTGAACACAAATTTACCATATTATACGTTTATATGAGACAAAAACAGCACATGTAGTTATGGTTTTTTTTAACAAACATTTTTTTGTTATAAATTAAACCATATATTTATTTTAATTATTATAGACATTTTTCTAGGAATAGCTAAGTATTTTTAAGAAGAAATCATTTGAAATTTAAATTAGGTAATTGTATAAGTACTATTTTATTTTATTTTATTTATTTTGATAGGGATATGCRAAAATGTGTTGGGTGTTTAATATAAACAAATATTAAATTAAATTAAAAAATATAAATAAATTAATATAAAATTATTACTTCTGATTCACAGTGCTCAATATTGACTGTACATCATCTAATAACAGTATTGAAGTTGCATTTACAGATGTAGGTGGTGGTAAGACAAACATTTTTTGCTTCACCAGCCACTCACGATCTTCCATATCAATGGTATATTGAAATAATTCTGGATGCTTATTGCCCATACGACTTCCTCTCTGTAAAATAAATAAAATTATTTAATTTACTTGAATTAAAGACAATATTCAATTAAACAGTAGAAATGTGTGAATTTTATTAAAAAACAAAATAATAATAACTAAAAGATATTGTACCTTGTTAGCAGCTCTTGTAGCCAACACAAATAATGTTTGAGAATGAATTTTCACTGGATCCCAAGTAGACTGAAATCTATGAAATTTCACCAAAGGTGTCTGAGATGATGTTTGTTCAATTGTAGGAGAAAGATTATTTTCAGTTTCTTGAACAGGTGGCTCTTTGCGTTTCAGTAGAGATCTATTCTGTAAATAAAAGTTAATGAGTATCAGTATGGTTAAATAAAATTTAGTTTTGACTATGCCAAATATAAATTATTTAGTTACTTTGGAATGTTGTTTTGCAAACCGCGATTCAATTAACATGTCTGTAGTTTGTGATGTATTAAATGGTGAATTACTGCCAGACAATGGTGGATTTGAATACATTAACTTTGCTTCATCTAACATTGTTCGACATACTTCTCTCACATGATCTTCAGTTATACAATTTGAACCCAAATTATTTTTAACATTGTCAATAGCCAAGCCAAAATATGACTGAAAAAGTTATTGTCAACATTGTTATGAAAATCAATATACCAGCGGTTAATACTTACTGTCAAATATTTTTTAATAACATCATCAATATCTTTATTAATTGAATTCTGTAAATTTTGTCGCAATAGATCTAAAGATTTTGCAGCGTTTACCAAATTCTTTGCACGCATCTTGGCCGCTTTTGTAGTAGCTTTATCATTACCATTAGCAACGTCAATAATATTAGCAAGTGTCACTTGTCGCATATTGAACGTACTTTTCTAGAAAAAAAGAATAATACAATTTTATAAATCATACGTTATGAGAATTCAGTTAGATCGTTCAGAAAAATCAATGGATACATATTACATACCCATGGGACAAAATTTTCACTGGTTATCACTTCCAAATCAAATACTGGAGCTTGCCGAACAAGCGGTACAGGCTTAGAGGACCTGTGAAAATTGTTCGGCTGTTGGTTCACCATTTGTTGTAATTGCTGGTCATCATTTAAGTGTTTTATTGGGAGTTTATGGACAACCATTTTATAACAACGACGGAGTGTGTAATGCGTTACAAAAAATCATTGATCCGAAAATTATTAGAAACATGGTTTAACCAAGCTGACCAGAAATCAGTATTCAGAACATTTTTCTTCAACAGCATTTATTATTTAATTAATGATATGATAATATCGTATTATTTTTATCAATTTCGTGTAGTTCCAGTTAAAATCGATAAATTGAAGAATATCGATAGTGAGTATCTTTAAATCGCTAACCAACGATAATATTTTAATACAGATTATAATCAATACCTTTATTGATATTTAAATGTCTATTAACAGGGTATAGACACTGTGTGTAATGGCCATTCTTAGATCATATTATCATAATATATTCATATACTATGGAGCCATGGCCTATCTCGCCTGTGTAAACAATTTGAAGCACATATTAGCGACGAGTCTCTCCTTGAAATTCGTTATCTGCGCATACGTGAATCTACTCGTCGCATATTTATTTTATAAATAAACGCGGTGTTTAATATTCAAATAAAATATAATAACATAATTTATTGTTTATTTTATTTATTTGTATATTTATTATCATTTAACTATCAATACTACATAACTACAGAGTATAGAACATTCAACATTACTAACTACTGATTATTAAATAATATTAATTTTGTTAGGGTTCTTCTCACATTTTTACCCGAAGTTGACATTGTTTTTATCTTCGCAAAATGGTGCAGCCTCAATGTCACGTAGTAATCAATTATGATTTTAATTAATTGATTTCGGTGATTATCGAACACACATTGGTTCAATATATGAGTCTTCATTGTTTCGCAGTTAAATATTGATGTGTCTTCGGCCTTCGCTAACTTCATTAATAGTTTTAGAGCATATAATTTGCTTGATATTTTTTTTTTTAAATAAATTGTTATTATTAAATCGAAATATATATTCGGTCGCTAAGCATATTTTGCGTACATTTGATGAAAAATTTATTAATTTTCCCCGATTTTAGATTCTGAACGAAGTGATGAATGATTGATTTTACAATGATGTGTTTTTTTTTTTTTTGTGTCTGTGTACAGCATAACTAGTCGAAATAATGCTTCGATTTCAAACTTTGGGGGTGATTTCCGATGTAAAAGTGAATATCCTTGGTGCATTATAGAGGTCAAAAGTAAACATTTTCCAACAGTTTTCAAAATAATCGAGAAAAACAAAAAAAAAAAAATGACAGAAAAACGGGAATTTTTACGCAAAACCAAATTTCGACCAAATCGATTTTTTTATATGGTTGTAATTCAAAAACTAATCACTGTAAATACTTGAAATTTTCACCAAATGTTTATGTTAGTGATAAATATATACAGTTTAATTTTCACAAATTTTTGACTCTTTTTTGAGTTATTTATAGACCACTGAAATTTTCAACTTTTTTGAGAATTTTTTTTGAAATGCCGGTAAAAAAATAATAGACGACCAAAAAAACTTGAAAATTTAATACAAGGTTCCTTATGAGTTGTTCTTATTGTAGCTAAAAAAAATTAAAAATCGTTAGTCACAATTTTTTTTTATAAGCGTTTATAGTTCAAATTTTTACGAAATCTGTCGAAAACGCGAAAATTTGCCTCCACCCCACCACCAATGTACAGCAGAGCGATACCCACTTCCCCACTTTTTTTTAAATTTTAGTAATACCTAATGAAGTATTTGTATTTTCACGTTCGACTAATAATGAATCACATACATTACAAAAATCTTTTTTTCGTCGAATTTTTCTAACGTAATGTATGTAACAAAATCAATAACGAATTCTTCTAACCCTGGCGTTAATGGTAATCATAATCGTGCTCAAATTCCTCAATAAGAATACTTGACACAAGCATCAAGTCATTTACACAAGTAAAATGAATTATAACTCTTGTATATTGTGTTAGAACTCCACCAAGAAAACTCCGGGAATTTCATTACATCAGTAAGTTGTGTATTCAATTTCGGTGCAAAAGTATTTGAATATAATATAGTATTCTATGTATTAATTTTTCATTATTATATAGATTTCCAAAAGCTCCATTAATACGGTGTAAATGGCTTGATGCTTGTGTCAAGTATTCTTTTTGAGGAATTTGAGCACGATTATGAATACCAAACGTCAGGGTTAGAACACGGATAATATCAGGGACCAGGGTATAGACACGTCTGTGTGTAATGCCAAAATCTGGTGACTGTGGCCTTGAACGCGGTCTCTAGGAGGGAGTGGCATGCATTATAACTTAAATAAATCATATCATTACTATCACACAAAAAGAGACAGAACCACAGATATATACAATAATCTGTGGACAGATCCAATAAAGAGTTTTGTAATGTCCATAGACCTTATACTCAGTATAAGGTCTATGGTAATGTCCTATGCCCATTGGCCATTGCGTTGTTTGGTTGTTTCCGTTTTTATAATTCCGTAACTAAGAGGGATACACGTTGCTAACATTCTATCAGATTACGGTTACGGTACAATTTCCAGTACTTCAGCTGATCGAGTGTCTATTCCATATTGTTCAGTCTGTGGTACCATGACTCATGAGTGCGTCTCACAGACGCGATATCTATTATCAGTATTATCAATTATCAGTTGTTAATTTGTTAATGTTATAGTCACATTGCAGTCCGTGGTTATAGTGCATGTGTGTACTGTGTTGTGTAAATTTGTGTTTTTTTTTCTGTGTCTAAGTGTCTTCAGTAGTTTTGTTGTTCAGGTTCAGCCGTTCAGCGGTCTTTGCGTTCGAGTTTGAAAATTCAAGTTAAAAAATTATTGATCAATCAATAGATAAAAATTTTGATTTTTCGTGCCCCATTACTTATTGATTCTAAATGGATAGTGCATGTGCAGTAACAACAGTGAGGAATGAAGATTATGTCGAATATTTTTTGTTTATTCGGTCAGATGAAAGCGAGGAGAATGCCGAAGAAATGGTAAAACATATTAACCACTTTAACACTAAAGCATTGGAGTTGGTAGATAGACTGTCCAAACAGTTTATATGGCACAAAGACAAGTTCAATTTGATACCACGGTTTTGCCCATCAGCAGAACTGAGACAGTCATTTTCCGATACTTCGGACGGTAATACCTTTTAGTTTATCACTACTTATTTAATATTTTTTCATTAGAACCCAATGAACCCATTTTTTTCMCCACCTACCAGATAGGTCTTACCTCCATTCTGCCAACCCAATATTATACCACAAAACAGACAATCACTGTCCAGGCACGGCACTAAAAAAACTTTCCAGAGGGGGGGGGCAGAATGGGGCACATATTTTTTTTTACATGGACTAAGGTTTTTTCAATTAATACTGAGGTTATTGAAATGAAATATTAATATTTTCGTATCATATATCATATTATAGCTATTAGCATATATAGTACACAAGTTTTTATATTTTATGTTTTAAAAGTTTAAACAGATAATATGTACAAATTTATGAATAGTTAAAAGTATTTTAAGAATAATGTCAAATATCTTTTATATATCTTATGTAAGAAAATGTTTAATTACAGATCTTCAACAACTATATTCATAATGATATACAAAAATTATAATTTCTTTATGACTTTAATATTACATACCTTTGTGAATTATGTTTCTTTTACTTATTTACATTTCATAAATATAAATTAAAGTAATTGTGTTAAGTAATGAACAGATGAATTTGTTTGAATCATCTTCAATGCAATGATTTGGGGTATCTTTGTTTGTTTATTTTCATCCGGTAATTATTACTCAATAAAGGTAATGACTAATGATAAATAAATAAAAGGTTTTTTCTTATTTTAAAAATTTCAAAACATATTTTATTGAAATTGTAGTAAAATTTTTCCTTATTAAACAAATAATAAATTCAATTTATTCTTCAATTTTTTTAGTAGTGATAAATATATTAAATAAGCTTTAATATTGATATTTTACACAATACCTGTTTGTCCTAATATGTCTATACAGTAAATGATTGAAAATCTTATAATATTAAAAAGTACCTAAACAAAAATGTATAAAATTGCACCAATATCAGTAGGAATAATATTTTTTTTAAATAAAAACTTGTGATTAC